AGGGGATGAGAGAAATACAATTCCGACTTTACTGTTTTTGGACCACCCTAGTATACATGCGTATAAATAAATTGGATTTACTAAAGATATTTAAGAGTATGCAAAAACAAATACAGTTCGTAAGTTTTTACGACCAGATGTACAACTTGAATGTGATCATCTAAAAATTTTATTTCTTAATTCTATTCGTGGTTTTTCTTTAATTGTTTAACCTTATGAATTGCATGTAAATGTCCGCTTAATGTCTGCTTTTAAAGTTTTTATGCGAGCTCCTATTTTTTTATTTATTTTTTTTTTCAATTATATTCAAAAGCAAAACTATTTTTATTCCGCGCCTTCCAGCACCTCTAAAGTAATGAATTATATTTTTGATTTAATTTTGCTAATTTTGAGTTCATTACTTAAACGCTGATAAATCATTTGCACTTTTGATGTTGTGACGTCCAATATGTTTTGTAAAAGACAAGTCATGTGATAACAAAAAAAAAATTCAAATATTTTGCTAATGAACGAAATTTTTCTCTTTTTTCCAAATCAAACAAACAAAAATGAAATAACCAAAAATTAATTGGGGGATAAAAAAATAATTATGCTGCGCTCTTGCGTGTTGTAACGCTCTGCTTCGCTGCGTTGTGCTCTGCGCTACGCCGAATTCGTTAATGTACATAATTTAATATGAAAAAAAAATATATCTGCAAAATAACAATATCTAAATCACGCAATAAATCAACGTTCGCCGCTGACCGCACAGTGGTATCCACGCATGGTGAGTTCTAGAAATGACATATGTACAGCCAAACTGAAAGCAATCAAAGCACAAAATGTCCATTTCATTTAACTACTTAAATTAAGTTGTTTTATTGGTGTTCATTTTTATTTTTATCATTTTGTGTTCGGTTTTTTTTTCTTGAAATATGAATTTCAGATTTATTTAATTGCATTTTTTGTTTGCCTTTTTTACCAAGACAGCATCGTTTTAATTACTTGACAAATGAGCATAATTATGTGGTGCGCGGTTTCAGTTGATGTATTTTTCAATTCCTATCAAACAATTAACTGGAAAATTAAGCAAAAAAATGTCTATCAGTACAATGCTCAAGTATGGCAAAAAAATCATTTGAGTTTTTATAGTATTTTTTTTTACATGTACATGTTTTTATATTTATTTTTTTTTAATGTTATGTATTTTGCTCATAAAAATAAAATACCTTGTTCATGTCCATTATCTCAACTTGATGTTCATTTACAAATCCAAACATAGATATATACATATGTACATGAGGACATACTCATGTATTTACTTGCCTTCATACACTAGAGCGCGCCACCTTACAAGCAAACAAAAAAAAAATTGCCATACATCCCTGCATTTAGAGTATTTTTGCAAGGAAATTTCGAAAACGAAATTTTTTTTAAGGCGATTTCGATAACTGTGAATTTGGCTAACGGAATAACGCAAATGACTTAGTTATTAGCTTTTCAACCTTTCTCATTTCTCATTTTCGTTGTTGATTGTTTCCCACAGAGTAGGAGAACGAAAAACGGACACTGAAGATGGTAAAACGCAATGCCGAAACGGGTTTGTCTCCAAACTAAATTTGACAAGGGATATTGGAAAATCGTTCAACAATACTACAGTTCTAGAGTTCTTGAAAAAAAAAAAAGGTTATTTTGACAAAAAAAAATTAAGTGCGACATGCCAGATTCTCGCAGCACACGATATATTCGAAAAGGCAAAAAAAAATTCTGAGTAAAATTGTAATAGTTCTAGTGTTCCTGAAAAAAAAAAAATCTGCAAAGTTACGCCGAAAAAAGTTTTCAAAAAAGTCGAAAAAGTTTAATGTTAAAAAAAAATTTAAGTTAAATCTGTTTTGAGTACCTTTGCAATACTTCTGGAGCTCAACATTTTTTTTTGTGTAATTTTGCAGAACTCTAGGGCTTTTGAAAGGCTACTCAGAACAGCTTTAGTTTTTTTTTGTCAAAAATTCAAAAATTAACTTTTTCGCCTTTTTCAAAAAAAAAATCGGGATAATTTTGCAGAATTTCTTTTTCCGTCTCAGGAACTCTAGAACTATTGAAAATAAACTCAGAACAGTTTTATTTTTTTTTTTGTCAAAAATATTACTTTCTCGCCTTTTTCGAACAAAAAAGGGGTTTCAGTGTTATTTTGCAGAACTTTTTTTTCCTTCTCAGGAACTCTAGGAACTATTGAAAAGGTAATCAGAACTGTTTTAGTGTTTATTTTCTTTTCAAAAATTTTACTTGTTCAAAAAATTTGGTTCCTTGGCGTTATTTTGCAAAACGTTCTCTCTAGAACTATTGAAAAGTTACTAAGAACTGTTTTAATGTATTTTTTTCAAAAATTTTATCTTTTCAACTTTTTCGAAAAAAAAAATGTTTTTTGGCGTAATTTTGCAGAACTTTCTTTCTAGAACTGTTGAAAAGCTTGAGTAGCTATATTTTAATTTTTTTTTTTAAACATTAAACTTTTAATTATTTCGGCGTAATTTTTAAGAACCTTTTTTCCTTTACAGGAACTCTAGAACTATTAAAAAGCTACTTAGAACAGTTTCTTTTCGCGGCTTTCCGTATGCCAACTTCACCGACATACAATCTCGAGTGTTTTTTTTTTTCTTACGAACCTAGGAGTCACCTTTTTATATTTTTCGCTGGCGCCTACTTCATTTGGCAATAAAAAAAAATGCAACAGTCATGTGCACAATCAAAGTACTTGCTTATCAAAAATTTAATAGGAGAGCTTTAATTTACTGACATTAGGGTAGTAAGTTAGAGTGATGAGATAAGAAATCCGGTGCATACGTACTAGAACGGGGACTTAAAGTCATTAAGCTTAGAAGCAAAGAAATTTACTTCACGAGAAAGAACATCGATATATAATACTTTACGATGTGACTGTAAGTTCCGAAGATATGAGGAAAAATTAAAAATAAGGACCTCCAAGTTCGGTCACAAAATTAATTCGAAATTTCCTTCGAATCGAAATATTTCTATAGCAAAAAATTTAATCATTTCTAGCAAGCCTTACTTGACTCGCAGCGGGGTGGTAGTAACTGAGATCTGATGGGTAAGTACTAGAACGGGGTACTTGAGGTCAATGAACTTTTGTACAAAAAAGTTGGCTCCCCGAGACAAAAACATCGATATATTATACCTTGAATCCGACTGTAAATGCCTCAAAGATATGACGAGAAATGTCAAAAAGCGACCGTTGCTTCGGCCAAAAAGAAAAAAATGCTTTCGGAATTGCCTTGCAAAAATACTTTAGAATCAAAGGTGTACAGCGAACTTCTTTTTCTTGGTACAGTCTAATGTATGTATATAGATACATAAATGCGTTCGGATATTCCCAAAATCCTTTTCAAACATGCATAGTCACTTACGGGTACTCAACTCAACTATGCAAATAAATTTTAAATTATGTACTGGTTGGAAAATTATTTATTCGCATTAAATAAACAAAAATAAAAACATACACGCACAAACAAAAATTTTAGTGCCATTCAGAGTGGCATAAATTTCAATTGTAACGCACTTGTGCGAAAATCAAGCGTACTCATCCAAAAGCCACTTCATGATTCAAATACAACTTGTCTGTGTATGTGATTCTGCATGTACATATACATACATATATAGTATTTAAAATATATTTTTACACATGCAAAAATTATTTTCTCACTAACTTTTGTTCTTCTTCATTTTTATTTCATTATTTTCCCATCAACAGCTGCGCGTTGCTGCGCTCAATGAGCCGTACGTTGGTGACCTGCAAGGCATACGAGGTGCAGATTTCGCCTGCTATCGGCAGGGACGCAGAGCCGGCTTACTGGGCACATTCAAAGCCTTCCTATCATCCAGGTAATTAATTGAGTAGTTATGCAAATATTTTTCTATACATTTGCGCATTAATCCACGCTATATTGTTTTCAATTTAATTTACGCACAATTTCTGCTGATGAATTACACAAATTTACAACAAACCGCAGAAACTCAATTAAATAAATGCATAAATTGATTTGATTATGTTAGAAGTACAGTTTATTTAAGTTGGTCAATTAAATATGAAATTTTTGTAAGTTTCTGTTTCCTGTTTTATTAGTCATCAATTTGGATTTTCAAATTTAATTAAAAAGTGCAAATAATAAAATAGTAAACCGCGAAAGCAATTATGTGCTAATGGTGAAATATTGGTAACTAATTTTTTGTGCCTCCATTATTTGAAACCTTTGATGAAGCTAATTCAAAGGAAAAAATTTAAGTTTTTAAATAAAAAAAAATCGCAATAAACAAAAATAAAAAAAAAAATAAAAAGTAAAATATTGAGGGTATTTACAAGATGTTTGCAAAGTGCTTACATATATTTTAAAATCGGAAAATTTTACAAGAGTTTAAATATTTTGTTGTTGCCTTGAAGAGAAAAAAGGAATTTATAAATTCAGCTATGAATAAGTTTATGCGATAAAATTAGCAACATCTCTGCAAGTTCTGTGAGCGGTACTCATTCAGTCGACTTTAAAAAGCTTTTTTTCTTATAAGCCTTCCGAGCTCGACTTGTTACCCCTTTTTTTTAATTAAGCCTTCTAATTCGTCTCCTCATAAAAGCGGAAAATTTTCACAAAATATTTAATGATGATGAGACGCACCGCGACACGGTTGCTTCAACTCTTCCTTTATTTGACAGTCGTTTCCTAAAAAAAAAGGTACAGAGCTATTGAAAGGTTGAAGAAGTATCATTTTTATATAGCATTGCAATTCAATTAATCTTTCACCTTGGCTGCTCGAATTTCTAAAGATTAGTCCCATTTGTAAAACATTTTCGGGTCGGAAAAAGCGATTAGGACAGGTGGGTATGTAGTTGACCGTAGAATTTTTTTTTTATTTATTTATATAAAATCAATTTTTTTCTCAGAAAATTACTTATAAAAAAGCTAACGCTAAAACAGAGTACAAAAAAGATGAAAATTAAATAAAAAAGTGGCTATAAAAAGTGCCAGGATATGCAATTAAAAAAGATTTTTTTTAATTTGTTAATAAAAAAACTAAAAAGTTAAAAACACGCAAAACTTGTTTATTTCTTTCCATTCAATACATGTTCTCAATTAAATCGCAAATCGGACCATAAATGCAAGTTTTCCAAATATCACGACAGCTGCGCCACCTATCGGATTTTTTTTTTTTTAGTTGTTCCCTTTCAGATAAATAATAGGGGATATTCTAAATTTAAACTAAGTCGGACTATAGATGCTGTTCTTCGAAATATTTCGACCTCCGCGCCACCTACCGGCATAAACACGTTTTTTTCCAAATACCATGACAGCTGCGCCACCTATCGGAATTTATTTTTTTTTTTTTTTGTTCCCTTTCATATAAGTAATAGGAGATATTCTAAATAAAAACTAAGTCGGACTATAGATGCAGAGCTTCGGAATATTTCGACCTCCGCGCCACCTACCTGCTAAATTTTTTGGGAAGCTATTTTACTAAATGTATGTAAATAATTTAGATTCCAAATATGAACCATATCGGGCCATAAACACGTTTTTTTTTTCAATATCTCGACACCTGCGCCACCTATCGGATTAATTTATATCTGCAATCGCATTGTCATCGGGTTCGGAACTGACTTTGAAGTTTCAAATCTCTAGCTTTTCGAAAAATTGATTAAAGTTACACACAGGTTAAATAAAAGCCACAAAGCTAGACCTCAAATTCCGAGGGTAAAAATATAATTGCCAAATTTAACAACAAAAAGTGTAATCTGGCCTCACTGCTGGGAATTTTCAATTAGAAAATATAGTACATTACGATATTCAAGTCCTTATTGATGGAAGTAAGCAATGGCAAAGCTTTCAAACAAACTGTAAATTTTAATTAAATTTTGATCTTATGGAAACATCTTCGTATTTAAATTTTTAATATTTACAGTTACCGCGAAGCTTAGAAAATAAAAATTTTACTGCATGAAATTTATGATTTTTTCTTCAAGCTATGCTTTTTATTTAAAGCCAATTAAAGCTCTTCTGGCCACTTTATGTACAATGTCTTCGCCCCTCACCTTATTTTTTTTTATTTATTTAGTTGTTCAAATTAAAAATTTGTTGTAGCCCATCCACTTCACTTAAAAAGCACAAATTCAATTTCTGACCGGAAGCAAATATTTGGTCTACATTTGTGCTAATGGCAGTTAAGATAGTGATCAACAGCAAGAGTAGCAGCGGAAGCGTTGAAAAAAAAAAATAACGAGAAATAAATTGACAACAACTTACCGAAACGAGGAAAGGACAATTTGCAAGTTGAGCGCTGTTTACAAGTACCCTCATTATTTTCAATTACACCGCTTTTCTACATCCGACTACGATGATATGGTTGTTTAGGGAAACTGTGCTATTCGGCAGATGCTATGTACAAATTTTTGTTTGTATGTTTGCTAGCTTACCTCAACGTTGGCGGCGGCCACTAATAAAGCATATCACATAAATAATCAACCAACAGCGCTTGGCCTACAGGTGCTGCTATTAGTGACTTGACTGAAATTGAAGTTCACTGTAGCGTACACCTTTACGGTACATAGTAGCTTGACGAAGTATGAAGTTGCTTCTTTGTGCTTACAATCTCTTTTGTTACTCTATATCTACGTTTTCTTGAGTTAAGCAACTTACTCAGTTCGTGAAAGTAGCTTTAGTATCTAGTGTATGCTCTCGAGCTGTGACTGGGGCAGGACACTCAAGCGTGCATGCTAAGAAGCGGCCAAGGACAAGTGAAACAACACACGCTGCCAGCAGCAGCAACAAAAGTGGCGTGGCAAATATAATAAAACGCAGCATGGAAAGTTTGCTGCAAAGTGAAAGCGCTTTCTTGTTTTTCTTCGACTCGATCTCATTTACGGGACGCTTGTCATACAGCGAGTTGCTGCTGTGCTGCATCGTCCCTCAGTCTATGTTCGCTACATGCGTTGCTCTACATCAGCCAGTAACTCTCCTCGCGCCTTTCGCTACTTTGTTGGCTCTTATGTATGTATGTGTGTGTGTGCGTGTGTATAAACTAGCGCTGCGTAGTTAACTTGGTTTATTAAAAATATTAACCTAAATACTGAGCACACAACAACAACAACAACAACAACAGCCAGAGCAATTTTACTCCGCATCGACACACGAAATGTGCGAGTGAGCAAACGACCGACCGACCGACCGACCTGCTTATGATAATTTCTTCAAATTAAGCGCTTCCTATGCGTCGCTGCTGGCATTTCTGCTACCATTGCACAGAGCTCCTTCGCTGTCACCGATGCCGACGCCGTTGCTCTTTATTCATGCGTCAGCATAGTACTGTTTAACATAATTTAGTGTAAATTCAACAAAGGCAGGCAGCAATGAGTGGAAACGTACCTACATACATTCATGTACGCAATACAAGCAACGGCAATAGCAGCAGCGGGCAACGAGTTACACCAAAAGCGACAACAACTATGTATGTATGATGACTACGCTAGCAGCAACAATTTTAGCTATTTGGGTCAAGTTGAATAGTAAATGCTGCATACATTATGCAGCAGCTTCCATAATTGCCGCGTCACACCTCACAACGTCTAGTCCAAAGTGTATTTTTGCGTACATATATATATACATATGTAAAGGTTGTGCTTAGTATACACCTACAGTGGTGGCCACATAATTAGGCACGCTACTTCTTTACGCGTATTCATCGTTTATTTTTTCTTTATTGATTTTTTTTTTTTACAAAAATAAAGTTTGTAGCAGACGAAAAACCATGAAACCCAAGGTTTGAAAACATGCACAAGATTTATAAAAATTCGGCAATTTGATAAAAAAAAATAGCCAACAAAATTTTTTAATAAGAATTTTTAGGAAAAATTCTAGTATGCAGTTTTTAAGCCTATTCAATTATGTAAAGCAGTAGTGTCCCTAATTATTTGGCCACCACTGTACATATGTACATAAGTACAGTGCCAGTATTACAGGGCGTATGCGTTACTACGAGTACTAGGCACGGGCTGCTTGCGTAGACAATTTTTAATGACAAAGCTACAGCCTTTTCGCAATTGTGCAGAGGTCAAAGTGCATATTTGCATATAAGTATAAATCTTCTCTCACTATCTTCTTGGTTTTTCTTCTCCCTCTTTCTCTCTCACACTCCTACCTAAACGTGTCGCTGCTGCAATGTGTTAGGGTGTCTCGAGCTTCTAACAAATATTCGATTTTCATCACCCAGTAGTTCATGGAAAAAAAATTGTTTATAATTGACGAAGCTATTCAAATTTTCATATTCATAAAGCCGAAATTTACCCCAAAACGGGCAAGGGAAACTCGTGAATAAAGTTCTGATTCTGAAGCCAGTCGTTTACCAAAGGTTCCCTCAAGGATTTAGAAATTAAAATATCTCCGGATACATGTATGTATGTAAATCCCTGCTAATGGCCTAATGGAATACAAGTCGGCTGGATGTACTTCTCACCGAATAATTGTTTTAATAAATGTCGATATAGCAAAACGATCGAAGGTGTTGAACATTTTTTCCCGCCATTGGCCATTTTAGTCTAGAATAGGCGAGCTGTGTTTGGATTAAATTCCACGAAAGTCTGCTACTTTTTAGTTGGTTAGCCGGCATTAGCACGTATTTAGAAAATTTCCCGATAAGTTATTTGGCTATGTTCGAAATGTACCTAAAATAATTGGCTTGTACCGAATATACATTCAAATTTAAGAGGCTGAAGATTAGGCACAATTCTATCTAGTTTTACATCACTATTTCGCACCGCAAGCTCACTTCTTGCTCTTCTTCTTCAAAACTTGTTTAACGACACACCCGGTTGCTCTCAACTCGATTGGCGCAATCTTGTA